TTCCCTCCAAAATGCAAGGTTTGTGCAAAAAGATTTTGGCTTAGATTTACTTAAGTGTTATTTGAACAAGTCACTTACTAAATGTCTAGTAGTGACAAACAGATAAAATACTATGTTTCCTGAACTATGCACTTACTTTTATAAATGCACAGTCACCAATATTAAAAGTGCAGTTCCTAATTTTAGCTTGGGGATAATGGCATTTAACATTTATAATAGTCTCATCTTCTTCATCCTCACTATGACATCTTACTTCTATATGTTCATGTACATCAACTTTATTATTAAAGATGTGTGAGTCATGCATCCTTAAAACTTGCTTGAGTATGTTCACAAACAGAGGTACATGCTTCTGATACTGCTTCTTTTGTTGTTGGATTCATTGATTAAATCTGTTACATTTTGATATTTAGTGTTGATTGCGCTTAATTTTTTGCATCTTAAGTTTTCAAACGTGAAGTTCTGTTTCAACTTGTGACTTAGAGCTCATAAACATTAACAAAAGTAGTTCATAACAAAGTTTGCAATAATTAAAATACCAATGAGAGCTAGTTATCTCGTTGGTATTAGTGCGTCTGTTTCTATGTATTAGTGCGTCTGTTTCTATGTATTAGTGCGTCTGTTTGAATTGTGGCGAAGCGTATCTGAACTTTTGTCACACTGCTTGCTGGAAATTGCAGTTTGCAATTGCAATTTTTTGTTGGATCTTTAAACTGAATTGCAGATTTTCTGTTGGGATAGATGTAGTTCTGCATAGCTTGCTAGGAGTTTTCTTTTTCCTTTTAGTTACTGTATTTTTCCTTGATGATGTTGGCATTGTATAATCTGTGCATTGGAGTGTTGGAATTGTGGCCATTCTCTATGCTTTCCCTATGTTATTTGAAACATGTTTAAACTTTGGTTGGGTTAGAATCTTATGTGTTCATGACTGTCATGGTGTTTTTGCTTACTATTGTGTTGGAAGCCTCACTTCCATATGTCATATGTTGACTCTGTCCATGGATGATGGTTGGATGTCCATAACATCATTTATATGTTATTTGAAACATGTTTGAACTTGTTTGGTTTAGGATCTTATGTGTTCATGAGTGTCATGGTGTTTTTGGTTGCTATTGTGTTAGAAGCCTCATTATCATATGCAATGTTGTACCCCTGTTTAGAACTAGGTTGTAAATGATGATAAACCTCATTTGTATGTCATATGTAATGTGTGTAAGCCATCACCCCTTGTGTATCATGTCTGAATAAGCCCATGCTTTGGAAATTGCATTTTTTGTGCATTTGTAATTAAGGGAAATGCACACACTTAAATATATAGTAGATCACTTAAATATAGTACCCCTGTTTAGAACTAGGTTGTAAAAAATCAATTGAAAATTGAAATGAAAAGTGAATTACCAGTAGCATGAATAATTATACGGAGAGAAAAGAACAAGATCATGCATAAGATGTTTAGAGGAAAAGAACCTGAAATTGGTATAGAAGCTGAGAAATTTGAGAAGAGTGCAACAACAGTAATTAATATAATAATCTTTATGATATTTGGATCCATGTAGGCAGTCTTACCTTGTGTTTAAGAGGTTGATTAGATAGAGATCCATGTAGGCAGTCTTACCTTGTGTAATGTAAACCATCAAATAACAACAATGTATTGTTCTCTATGTTTCCTCTATGTTTCCTCTATGTTTATATTGATTTACCATCATGTATTGCTCCTATTATCTTTGATGAAATGCCATAGATCCATTTTAGTCAAGCACACAAAGCAATTATGCAATTATGCTGCCTCTGCCTCTGCCTTCTCAGCTCAATTGATTACCTTGTTTGAGAATGGGATTCATAGATTACTAAACAGTCTGGTTTCTTATAACTTTCCTAAAATCTAAGATACAATATTCAATGTTTAAACTATTCATGATTTTTCAATTTCATATTTTTGTATTTTGTTGGGATCTTTATTTTGTTCAAAGGGACTGTATGTTAAGCTAAGATATCAATGATGGTTGTGTTAAATATTCATACTTCAATTTATGTTAAACATTTTATGTTGTGCTAGGTATGTGAATGAGTTGACAAAGAAGGGAAAAAGTGTCCCGACGAAAGATGATTGGAAGCATATCAACTTAATCATTCCATTCTTGAAGTTGTTTTATGATGCTACAGTACACATGTCAGGGTCATCTTATTTGACAAGCAATATTTATATGTTTGAGGTCCTGGGTATTGGAAAGAGCATTGCGGATATGTGTGCGTCTGAAGATGAACATCTACGTTCAGCAACTCAAAAGATGAAGAAGAAGTATGATAAGTATTGAGGATCTCATGAGAAGCTTAATATGATTTTGTTGATTGCTCTAGTTTTCGACCCTAGGCGCAAGATTAAATTGGTTGATTGGATGGTAAGGCGATACTACAATAAGGATGATGTCGATGCCTTGAAACAAAACTTAGATTTCTACTTGAAATCTATTTATGAAGAATATTGTGCTGGATTTACGTCTCCTCAAGGTAATTCAGATGAGCCGCAAGTTTTTAGTAGTGTTAGTCATCCTTATGGAATTGCTGAGTTCTATCTTTTAGAAGGGTGTGACAATGCAGATAATGAATTAAGTACTTATCTTGGAGAGAAGTTGGAGCATAACATGGAGATAAATGTTTTAGAGTGGTGGAAAGTTAACTCTGGACGATATCCCATCTTTGCAAACATTGCAAGAGACGTGCTGGCTATACCTATAAGCACAGTGGCGTCTGAATTTGCATTTAGTACAGGAGAAAGAGTGCTTGATCCATATCGCAGCTCGTTAACACCTACAACAATTGAAGCACTGATTTGCACCCAGGATTGGCTCAAAGGAACATCTTCATCCTTGATTACAAATGAAGATTTTGATACTCTTGAGAGATTTGAGCAAGGTATGATAACTAACTATATTTCCTAATGTATTATTATTTATTATACTTGAGGCATAATGAAATGCCTTTATATGTTTTGTAGAATTAGTTTATACTGAAGATGGTGTTAGTTGTTCAACCTCTTCAATCTCTGGTGCATTCGAAGAAGACTTAATGGTATTTTTAATTAAGTTTTCCCCTTTATTATCCTTAGTTTTCTACTTTTTAATTGGAAGACATTGTTGTTACCCTTAGTTTTCTACTTTTTAATTGGAAGACATTGTTGTTATGTTGTGACAGTGAGTAGAAATTTTCATTCAAGTGGTGTGAAGAGGATGGGAGGTGGATATGACATTCATATCACATGTACAACTTGGACCAGATGAAGCATCAGGGGTTGAAAATGTCTCATGCAGTGTTCACTGCTCTCAATTAATTTTTCTGTACTGTCAAATACTCGTGCTTGAACATTTTCATTTCTTAATACAAAGTATAGAATTAAAATGTTTCAGGTGATTTATCAATTATTTATAGTTTGCAATAAAATTAATTTTTTTTAAAAATTGGTTTTAAAATTGGTTTTTTTTTTATATAAAATAGATTTTAAAACTGATTTCTTTAAAGAAAATAAAAAAATTGGTTTTGCGAGAAACAGGTTTAAAACTTATTTTTAAAAAAACTGTTTTTTTTTAAAAACCGGTTTGAAATCAAACCGATCCACTTGTAAACCGGTTTTAAAAAAATAAACCGGTTTTATATAAATGGTTTTAAGATCCAAACCAAACCATTTGGTTTATAATCCATGCAAATGCCAATATGACAAGCAGATATGAATGTATCTTACTTCTTGGCATGCAATGCGGTAAATCGAGTAATGATATCTAACGTCGGGGACGAATGACTTTAGATTAATGACTGGAACTCCTCTTTTGGGTTCGTGGCCGGCACATTACAACTTGTATTTATCAATACAAAATTTCAAAAGTAAAAAGAATCTTTGAAAATGGAGAGTATAGTACAATTTAATTCTATTATCCAATAAAATCAGAGGATTCAAATCAAATTTTTTGTGTGACATGCATTCGTTTTCTGCTGAAGCCGCTCACAATTAATTTGTTGTTATTCCCAAAAACCCCGCATTGACCTTTGAAATCGTAATGATTAACAACGATAATATTGCTATGTTTTCAAAAAAAAAATGTTTTCATATAGAACACATAAGAACAACCGTTGGTTAAGGTATCACATGTTAATAACCCTAAAAAAAAATCCAGATACCAGTACTATGCAAGACTCACAGAGCTTTGTTTTCAACTCATCTTCCTATGTCTTTTCATCTTCAAGAAGGAAAAAAATCACCAGGAGAAATAGAGGTACTTCGACTAACTCTTTCTTCTAGTATTCTTTTTTAAGAGTCTAACGTCGAACAATCTATAACTTGATTCTTAAGATGGTAGCAGAGTTTCGTTTAAAATTTATTAAACCACTCATCATTTAATTTTATGTCTCAAATACATATCTGAGCGTGACACTACAAGAAATCCTGCAGTTTCCCAAGTGATATTCACGTCACTAACATAAAAACCACTTCACTAAAAAAATTTGCGACGTGGGTAAAACACGTCAGAAATGCAAAGGTGGGAACTTTTTCCCACGTGGTAAACACGTCACAAAGTTGTCACATGGTTACCACGTCGCAAACCACAAAAGAAAGAGGAAATGTTCCCACGTGAAAACCAAGTCACTAATTAGTGACGTGAAAACCATGTGGGAACATTACTTTACCAATTTTCTCTGCACGCTGGCTGACACAATTATATTTTATTACCCACGTGATATCCACTTCACAAAGTTGTGACCTAGTTTTCACGTGGGAAACCATATTGAATTAATATTCTTCCCATGTGATTCCCACGTCACTAATTAGTGACATGGGATCCACTTCACTATTTAAATTAATTATAAAAAAAAAAATTAATATTAACTGAAAGCTTCTATAAAATTAAAATAAATTTTAAATTTTAAATATAAATTTTAAATTAAAATAATTTTTAATTAAAATAATATACATTTAAAATATATAAATATTTAGTTACATGAAATTCACGTCACAAATACAAATAATAATATGTCACATCAAAATCCTGAGGTTCATCATATGTCACATTTACTCCAAATGCATTTCCAACCATTTCATCGATCAGATTAAATTGTTCATCAAATTCCATGTGTGATCGACTGCTTGATGCGTGTGTATTAGTTGCGTCTGCATGTACGTTACTCGGCAGTTGTTCTCCATTATATGTCCAAACCCAATAATTTTTAATGAAACCTTTCCTCTTCAAATGACGTTCAACTTCCTCTGGGTCACTAATTATAGATCTACATTCACATTTAAGACAAGGACATCTCACTCCTCCTTCACGTCGACAACATTCTTGTGCAAATGCCCACGTGATAAACCCCTTAACTCCTTCCTCAAAATTTGCCGTAAGTCCACGTCTGCCTGGTAACGTTCTATCGTACATCCAACTACGATAGTAACGAAAATATTCCATACTGCACAATTGTACTATATATCATTATATATCATTTTAATAAAATATGTAATTTAAATCTATTTTTTCTATTTTGACACCAACCTAATAAAATATGTTCACTAAAATAATATATATTCATTATTTTTAAAATATAATATATATTTATTATTAAAGTATAATATATTCATTAATATGTATAATTGATTTAAAAAAACTGTTTTATTATATTCATTAATTTAATAATATATTATGTTTACTAAAATAAATATATATTAAAAAACTGTTTTATTATTTAAAAAACTGTTTTATTAATATATTATAATTTAATAATTTAATAATATATTGTGTTTACTAAAATAATATATATTAAAAAACTGTTTTATTATTAAAAAAACTGTTTTAAATTCATTATTTTTAAAGTATAATATAAATTCACTAAAATAATATATTATACTAATATAATAACATATTTAAAGTATAATATATATTCTTTTTTTTTCAAAGTATAATATATATATATTCAATATTTTTATATTCATTATTTTTTTAATAATATATATTCATTATAATATATTTTAAAATAATATATATTCATTATTTTTATATTCATAATATATATTCACTATATATTAAAAAAACTGTTTTATTATATTCATTAAATTAATAATTTATTATGTTTACTAAAATAATAACTGTTTTATTACTAAAATAATTTATTATATTCATTAAATTAATAATTTATTATTATTTAAAAAACTGTTTTATTATTTTTAAAAACTGTTTTATTAAAATAATATATATTATATGTTTACTAAATTATATTAACTATTTAATAATATATATTATTCTATAATAGGTATAATTGATTTACTAAAAATCACACAACATATTATTTAATTAAAAATCTGTTTAAAAATATATATACATAACACAACATAATATATATTATGTTTACTAAATTAAATCTGTTTTTTTAATTTGTTTCAAATAAATAATCTATTTTTTAAATTAAAAATCAAATAATATATTATTTTTATTTTTGCTTTCTCAAATTTAAAACAACAACAAACACAATATACAATACATTATCACAATATTTCTAACCTAAAATCTAAAATCTAAAATTTTCTAACCTAAAATTTTCTAACCTAAAATCTAAAATAATATTAACAACAACAACAATAAATATAAACAAATTTAATTGCTGAAATACCTCTTTGCAAGCTTTTAAAACTCTTCCAATGAGATTTCTTAAAAATCAATGTTAGATCTGGAAAAAAAAAATTAACAGTTAATAATAACAAATATATAAAATAAAAGGAAACATAAAAGAGTCACAAAATCAACAAATATTTCACCTTAAAATTTTGGTCTTATGAAATAAAAATGGAGTTGGGTTTGGAGGCAGCAAGCATAAGGAAAAGGAATAAGCAAGCAGTATGAAGGAAGAAAGGGGAAGAAGAAGCTTCTGGGATTTGCATACGAAGTGCCAAGACAAAATTCTGGGATTTGTATTTATAAGGGAGGTTGCGACGTGGATCCCACTTGGGAAGTTTGCGACGTGGATCCCACTTGGGAAGTTTGCGACGTGATTTCAAGGACGGTATTTGCGACGTGAATTCATGGTCGGTAATACTCCTCTAGAACGTTGCTTCAATTAATGACAAATAACTTTTCAGAGTTGCGACGTGAATTCCCCTTGGGAAATTTGCGACGTGGCAAACAAGTCAGAAAAATTCACCCTTTATTTTATTATTACCGTTGCCCACTAAAAGCCAAAGCAACGGTCTGAAATAATTAATGTGAGTGTGTTGCGAAGTGAAATACATGTGGGTAGTTTCTGACTTTTTCTTCCCATGTGATTTTCATGTCACAACTGAATTTTTAAAAATTTCAAACTTCCCTCCCCCTTCAATTTCCAAATTTTCGTTCCAGATTTTTGAACTACACAATTTATTAATTTAATATGTTAGTGACGTGGGAATCACTTGGCAACACATTTTTTTTTCCTACATGTTTCCCACGTCACTAAATCACTAGGGAAAATACACATTTTCTTGTAGTGTGAGAGACAGTGTTAAAAGTCTCATATTGCTAATTATGACTTGATTCTTGTTACTGATAAAAAAACATTTATTTATTTGAGAATCATTTCTAGTATACTTAAAAAAAAAAAACAAATAGTATCTTATTTCCTTTATTCCTTTGCATTTTTATATGTGAAGCTATTAACTTACTCTCAATATGACATTTTCATGTAGAAAAAATGGTTCATCTCAAAGCAGAAGATTTGAAAAATATTGACAACAATTATCAATCTCTCCTCACTGTTTTTGCCCTAGCTCTTAATCCCGCACCGGTTAAAACATGCAAAAATCCCAAAGAAAATATCGATGCAGCGTCGAGATTGCCTTTGCCCATGATTAAAATATCCCGTGTTCTTAATGGTATACCACAAAGTCCTCATTTCTTTCAACTAATTAAGGAATTTCTCAGAGTTAGCACGAGAGAGATTGGTAGCAGCATGGGATCAAGCATTTGAAGACACATCACAGAAAGTTCATGATTTGAAGGGTAAAGATTTTTGGATTAATGCAAAAAAGCTTTGGAAGACGATGGAAGATTTGCAAGGAATGGGGTATAATGTGGTTCCTATCAGGAGGAGATTGGTGGAAATGACGGAAGTGATGGTTGAGTTCAAGAGTTCGAAGTTGAAGATTTTAAGGTTGAAAAATAAAGCTGAGAATCATAGAATGGAAAGAAGTAGGCTTGAGAGTATGGTTTTGGGTTTACAGATGAGGGTTGAAAGAGAGGGAATGATGATGGTTAAGTTGCTTGGTGAAGTTGATGAAATAGAAAAATCATTGCCTAGTTATGATGTTTTGGTAGAAAGTTTAGCCATGAAGCCATTTGACGTTGGTGTTTGAGTATCAAAACTTGTTGAAGGTTTGAGTGGTATAAGGTTTTTTTTTTTAATCTATATCTTGAATTGATGCTATATTGGAGAAATTCTTGGAATACATTCCATTTTTACTCTCTGATATGTCTTTGTTCCTTCTCGTGGAGTTTTAAATTTCTAAACAATGATGACAAAATTTTGATCTTTGGTTCCTATTCAAAAATTACTTTCTATAGGAGAAATGTATCTTGAGAGCTAAGAGATTGCTTCATCCAAAGCACGTAGTTGTCAATTCATCCATGTGTGTTATTAAAAACCATCTTAATTCATAGGATAGTTCTCTTCCTCGCCTCATGAATTAAGTTTTCTTAACCTTTATATCTTTTCTAGACCATATAGATCACTAAACAATATTTATTTGTGATATGTCTGTTGAACCAAAGTTGATTTGAAGAATAATGACTTTTAATTAGATTTTATTAATAACAAGACCAAAGTTGATAAGAAAGAAATGAATATTATTATTAGGGTTAAATATGTTATTAGAAAATAAGTCATAATTTAGTTTTAGTCCCTCTAATATTTTTGTTTAAATATTCGTCTTCTAAAACTTTTTCGTCCCTATTTTTTATCTCTGACGTCTATTACACTTGACAGAAGTTTATGTGGCAGCTGAACTGACATTTTTTTTATTAATTTTGAGAAGATGAATGGATGATTAAGCATTTGCTATTGAACATATTATGTGTCACCTAAGTTCCTTTATTAGTTTAGTAAAAACATAGCACCAGAAACCCTAAATCATCATTTTCCCGCCCAAAATTTACTCTCATTTTTGTTCCTTTGTTTACTCCATAGAAGGTAATTTTTGAATTCAACTCCATTCTTCTTCAACTTTTTGTGTTTGCTTTGTTAAACATAGTATCAGTAACACATTGCATTTTTTTTTACTTTGTTTGCAGAAAGTTGACTCCCTTATCATTGCGTTTGATTTGCTTTGTGGTCCCAACATTTGCGTGAAAGGTGCTCGCTTTGTGGTCCCTCGACATTGGAACTGATGTAGGTCCACATGTTCCCTTTAGATTCTGATTTATTGAAGTTTGACATAGTGATCGTATTTTACTGGTAGTTATTAGGTTATTAGGGTTTGTATGCATATAATAGTCATTTAGTGGGTCCATATTTGACTGTATTTTCCATCCATTATGTAAGGATGGGTGTTTTTAAAGTAATATTTTACACGAAGGACTCTTTTGTAAAAGACCCAATACTAAAGTATAAGGCTGGGAAGTTTATGCCTTTAATGGTCAAAATAGCGAGTCATTGTCATTTTTCGAGGCATGTGATTTAATTAAGGGAATGAATCCTAGGTTTGAGTACAATAATGTTAAGATGTGGTGGAAACATGGTGATGGTACTTTAGAAAATGACCTAAAACCTTTTAGGGATGACGGTGATGCATTTGAGTTAGCTGTATTCGTTCAAGAAAGTCACCAAGGTGAGGTTGAAATATACACTGAGCCTAAACCTAGTATAGAGAATGCAAACTTTATGGAAAATGCAAGAAAGAGGAACAAGGCTAAAATATGTGAAGATGAGGTTGATTCAAATATTGATGAGGGTTCTAGTGATGAAGATGTGAAGGAATTCAAATTTGAGGATAGTGATGAAGAAATGATGAAGGGTTTTGATAAGGGTTTTGATGAGCAATTTGATAGTCAACCTAGAAACATACCTGCTGCAGATGTAGCAGGCTCTAGCGAGGCAGTGAGAACAACTCTTATTACACCAGATATGGGAAAGGAACATGTAATTAAAGATGAGTATCTTATTGATTAGCTTGATAGTGGTGCTGAAGATGATAGTGGTGATGATAGGCCAAGAGCGTTTAGGTTCAATGAGGAAGATGGGATTACAAAGGAATATAAATTCAAGGTTAGAATGAAGTTTTCATCACTGAGGCAGTTCAAGAGTACTATTTTGGAACATAATATATTGAATGGTAGGGAAATCAACCACCAAGTATAGCACAAAGTCAGCCACCAAGTAAGCCTAAGACTGCTCAACCTCAAGTCACAGACCAGATAAATGAGGCACCAAGTCAGACTTCAGTCCAAGG